TTAATTTATCATTAATCATTAATTCATACCGTAAGATATAATTGTGAGCAATAAAGAATTTTATTTTTTTTAATGCACACTGTTCTGGGGAGTTCTCCCAACCCGCCTAGAGCCAATTTGGGAAGGGCACAGGGGGAGAAGAGGGGGAGAAATCTCTGTTGCACTAAAGGAAGTCCTTCCGCGGGACTTGTTGGTTGACTCCAACCCAAAGTTGCATTCATTTCTCCAATGAAAAATTGGAAATTTTAGAGAACACTGGAAAAAAGAGTCTGTGAAATAATTTTCCCTTTTGGAATGAATAAGGGGTATAAGGATTTTTACACAAGTAAATCTACATGATTAGGGAATGCTAATTCTTGTTTAAACTCAATATTACAACACTTGCATCAAATATGCATTTCTGCACCTAGGTTGCTGTCATCTCCATGGAAGGAGCAAGCGGGGGCTTTTGCTTTCTTGCAAATTGCTGCTTCTCGTCTTTTGAAGAACTTTGATTTAATTTGGAGATATTAGAAGCAAGTAACCTGCTTCTGCTGTCCTTTCGCTTGTACAAAACTAAAGCTACACTCCTATATGTAGAGTGCCTGGGAGTAAGCCCACTGAACCCAGAGAGGCTTGCTTCTGAGTAGACATAAATAGGGTCACACTGTAAATCATTAATACATTTGGAGTTGTATGCAACATTGCATGCGTGAAGTTCCAGTCACAGAGAAAGACTTATTCTGCTCTGCTCTCCCCACATGTCCTCAAAATCTTCTCCAGAGGATCCCCCACCCCTCTTGAGCATATATTACGGGTGCATGGGGGGCTGCAAGGGAGAAGAGGGGAAAGTTCCATTATGCAAGCAGAAGTCTGCTGTGCTAGTGGAACAGCAGGATTGAATATAACCCATCAGGCTGAAATTCTAGGGGTGTAATCATACTAAACATCATAGCTTTTCTCCTGAGTAAACATGCTTAAGATTGCTCTGTAAATTTCATAAGCATGCCAAATATAAAATAGTTTAGGTTTGATAAAAAAGTAATTATTGCACATATTTAAATTTCACCCAAAATGTCAGACTTCGGGGGGGGGCAGGATGGGGGGTGTTTCATTCCTTCAAAACTTGCACCTTTTGGACTCCTATTTGTTAATAGGGGGTGCTACCTACATGTTTTTGAAATGAGAGCTCAGGTTTAAATTTAAATTTAAATTTAATACATAATAATAATTTGCAAGTACATTGGCCACTCTGGGGAGAGGGTCAGGGCTGCCCGGGAGTGGGCCCCAGCCAACATAATGGCCAGGACAAGTTCCACGGAGGGGATGCACTGGGACACCTGATCTCAGTGATCACGGACAGGAGGAGGAGTTAATCTAAGACCAGACCACGTCATTACCGAGGAGGCAGGTTTAGTCATTGTTTGAAGACTATCCCTGCCTCTGGGTCTGGTCTTGACCAGAAGGATACTGGAATCAACAAGGGAGACCCACATAACCGTAAGGCGCTGCTGTGCAATACTAGGAGGACTTGACCTGGCTACTGCTTGTCCACCAGGTTTCTCTTATGCACAGCAACCCAGGTCAGGTGGGTGAGGAGGTGGGGGAATGCAGTGATTTTTAGGAAGACATTAGCTTGCGCCAGGTGTCCTAATGGGAAGACCCAGTTTTCTGAGTGCATGTTCTGAAAGTTGGGCAGGTTTAGTCATTGTTTGAAGACTATCCCTGCCTTGGTTTCTGGTCTTGACTGGAAGGATACTGGAATCAACAAGGGAGACCCACATAACCGTAAGGTGCTGCTGTGCAATACTAGGTCAATGATTCATAAGACCACTGCCATCCATGATTGTGGATGGAGGACTTGACCTGGCATGTGTAACAGAGACTTGGTTGGATGAGGCGCATGGTCCTGTTCTTGCTACTGCTTGTCCACCAGGTTTCTCCAATGCACAGCAACCCAGGTCAGGTGGGTGGTGAGGGGGGGATGCAGGGGGGAGGGGGGATGCAGTCATTAGTGTTGGTGCTGACCTTTAAAGCCCTAAACGGCCTCGGTCCAGTATACCTGAAGGAGCGTCTCCACCCCATCATTCTGCCCGGACGCTGAGGTCCAGCGCCGAGGGCCTTCTGGCGGTTCCCTCATTGCGAGAAGCAAAGCTACAGGGAACCAGGCAGAGGGCCTTCTCGGTAGTGGCGCCCGCCCTGTGGAACGCCCTCCCATCAGATGTCAAAGAGATAAATAATTACCTGACATTCAGAAGACATCTTAAGGCAGCCCTGTTCAGGGAAGTTTTTAACGTGTGATATTTTACTGTATTTTTGGTTTTTATGGAAGCCGCCCAGAGTGGCTGGGGAGGCCCAGCCAGATGGGCGGGGTATAAATAATAAATTATTATTATTATTATTATTATTATTATTATTATTATTATTATTATTATATTAGCTTGCACCAGGCGTCCTAATGGGAAGACCCAGTTCTCTGAGTGCATGTTCTGGAAGTTGGGCAATAGGGGCAGTACAGGATTCCTTTTGGTGTACCGACCTCCCCGCTGCACCAAGGATTCCCTGCCTGAGCTGCTTTTGGTCGTGGTGGATGTTCTCCTGGAGACACCTAGCTTGGTTGTCCTAGGGGTTTTTAACATCCATGCCAACACGACCTTACAAGGAACCGCTCAGGACTTCATGGAAAGCATGGCCTCAACAGGGCTGTCCCTGAATAAGTTTGGCCCAACTCATAGTCACAGACATGCCTTAGACCTGGTGTTCACCTCTATAGACGTGGGTGATCTGACACTAAGTAAAAGCAAAACAAAAGAAGTGCCATGGTCAGATCACTTCCTGGTGCAACTGGATTTCTCTGAGACCCTTCCCTTCTGCAGGGAGGTGGGACCAATTTGGATGGTCCACCCCCACCACTTAATGGATCCAAATGGTTTGTCATTTATTTCTTCTGACAAAGTACAGTGGTGCCTCGCAAGACGAAATTAATCCGTTCCGCGAGTCTCTTCGTCTTGCGGTTTTTTCGTCTTGCGAAGCACGGCTATTAGCGGCTTAACGGCTTAGCAGCTTAGCGGCTATTAGCAGCTTAGCGGCTTTAAGAAAAAGGAAACAAACTTGCAAGAACTCACAAGACGTTTCGTCTTGCGAAGCAAGCCCATAGGGAAATTCGTCTTGCGGAACGACTCAAAAAACGGAAAACCCTTTCGTCTAGCGAGTTTTTCGTCTTGCGAGGCATTCGTCTTGCGGGGCACCACTGTAAAAAAAAGAGGAGTGGTTTTCTATATCACGGAAGAATGGAATCCAAAATTGGCTTTTAAAGATGAGGAAGGAAGACAAAAAACAGTTTTGCTTCTGAAAAATCCAAGTTGGAGACGGAGTTGTTGGATTCTAAAGTTAAAAATCTGTCTAAAATGTATAAGTTACTGTTGGAGTGGCATACAAAGGATGAACAAGTTACATCAGTAATGATAGATTGGGCAAGAGATGTAGGACATAACATAATGTTTGAGGATTGGGAAAGATTGTGGAAGAAAGGGGTTACGTTCACTGCATGTACAATGTTAAAGGAGAATATAATGAAAATGATGTACAGATGGTATTTGACCCCTGTTAAATTAGCAAAGATTTATCATAACTGTGATAACCTATCTTGGAAATGTAAAGAAAAAGAAGGAACTTTTTATCACATGTGGTGGACCTGCCCCAAGGTGAAAGACTTCTGGGGAAAGATTTATAATGAATTGAAAAAAATGTTGAAATATCCATTTATAAAGAAGCCAGAGGCCTTTCTTCTTGGAATAACAGGTATGGAATTGCCCAAGAAATATGTTAAATTATTTTTGTATGCCACAACTGCTGCTCGAATATTACTAGCTAAGTAGTGGAAAACGCAAGAAATACCAACCGTGGAAGAATGGCAGATGAAGATGATGGACTTTTCGGAGCTAGCCAACCTGACCGGAAGAGTCCGCGACCAGAATGTGGAGGAGTATCAGGAAGAAATTCAATGACTATTTAGCTAAATACATCAAGTTAAATTAATTGGGAAAAGTTTACAATTACCAGCTATTTAAATAAGTAGTGTGAGGAATTATTATGTTTAATGCTGAATTGGGAAGAAAGACTAATGTTAAGTGATTAAGTTAAGATTTTAAGAACTTTGATTTGGAAAACCGTTAAAGTGATATACATTGAAATTCAACTAAGGGGATACGAGGAAGTCACTTAACAATGTTAAGAAGATTATTTCTAATAAGGTTATGATTTATGTTTGTCTGTTTATTTGTTAGTGTGGTTTTTTTTAATTTTGTGGAAAATCAATAAAAATTTTGAAGGAAAAAAATGAAGTATATACCTTCCTATGCGCCCTTTGCAGTATCAGACTTGATTGATTACCCACATCCACTGGTTCATACACTTCCATGTTTTTCTCCTTAAACTTTTGCCCTTCTGTGTGTCTGAAGGTTTCCAGTTTTGGCCTCTCAGCAATTTCATCTTCTTAAGTTGATGTTTTGGGCACCTGTGTATCACCTGTGGTGGGGATGGAGGCAGACAGGCAGTTGGGGTTGAATATAGTAGAAATAGCATGCAGTGCAAAGAAGCCTTTCCCTAAGGATGGAAGCTGCATGGCTTTGGCAGGAGATGATTACTGGTGCCAAAGAAAAATAAGAACTGTCATTATTATTATTATTATTATTATTATTATTATTATTACGCTTATTGCTTCATGTTTTCTTTATTGCTGTTTATATTTGGTTTTAATGTTTTTTGTTATTTCTGTTTTTATTATGTAAGCCACTCTGAGAGCTGTCTGTGTAAAACACAACAAGTATTAATAGTAATAATTGTAGTTTTTGTTTATTGTAAGTTGCCCAGAGGACTTTTTATGGGGCAGCAAAAAAAGGAGGAGAAATTACTGGCCTGTGTATGTTAGCTGACCATAGGAGCTGCTTCTTGGCTTTCTCAGAACAAGGACCTGTTTTTTCCACCCTTGCTGGCTGACTGTTTGCATCTTTCCCTTCCAGAACCCAGATTACCACGGCTTTGACCCAGATCCCGTCGTTGACGTCTGGAGCATGCGCGTAGCCTTCTTTTTTGGCATATCCATTACCATTGTATTGGGCTCCACCTTCGTGTGCTATCTGCCGGACTACGGGTAAGGTCCGTTTGGGAAACATTGTTCCAAGCTGTGCTGAGACTTGCAGGCTTTTCATCCCTCACACAGAGACTCAGGGCAGCCCACTCATGAGGCAAGATGAGGCAACCACCTCAGGCAGCAGGATCCACCAGGGCAGCAGATCTGACACCCAAGGAATGCATTGCTAAGGCTGCTGCCACGGTGGCAATGCCAGCTGCTGTGTGCTCCCTGGAGGCCGGATCTACTGCCTCCTCAGCAGCCTTCCACCATGCAGTCTCTCCGCGAATAGGAAGCACTGCTGGTCTCATCCCACCCCTGGGGAGGAAAGCGTGGTGGCTGCTCTCCAGAGTCTTCTGGGCTCTGCTCCCACTTGGCATGATTCAGAGCATCGCCCCACCCTGCAACAGCCTTTGTTTCTCACTTCAGCCATTGAGCGAGGTTGATTTGATTCCCCGCCCTTTTTTTGATGTACAGCTTCACTTGCCTCCTTGTTTCTGATGTAGATCTACTTTATCCCCGCTTCTGTGGCTGTGGGGGGTGGGGTGCATTTTGAGGTTTGCCTCAGGCACCAAGATGTCTTGGGCCATTCCTGCAGAGATTCTTCGGTCCAGATGTTTTGGGGCAGGGCAGCCAGTATCATCACTAGCACAGCAGCTCCTCTGCTTCTGACCTGTAGCTTCCCCATAAGTCCATTCATTTCCTGAAGCACATCCTGGATCTCCCAACCCCTTCCTCTCATCCTGCTTCCTCATGAAGTGATCCACCCCTTCTGTCCCTGTTTTCAGACTCCTCCTGATCTTCGGATTTCCCTTTTGTTGTTGCTGTTGTTATTTTATTTCAAATTAGACAAGGAAAGGAAAAAGGAAAAAGAAGATAAATGACAATTTTAAAAAGAAACGGGAATAATAATATTACACAAATAATGCTAATAATAACAGTAGACCACCATCAGTTCACATTGCTGATACAATGACTGTCAGTACACAAATCTTAAATTAAACATATAAATTAATATAAGCCCTCTAGAAGTCCAAATCAGTATCCCGACGAACTTTATGCCCATATGAAATATGTTCAAACGTAGTCAGGACAATGAGGCCCCCAGAACATTATGTAATAGGTGTTGGGTATGTATCCTCTGAGGCTCAAGGTAGACATTCCTTAGCCACCACTTTTGTTGCCCATACATTAATCCCCAATCTACAAGGATATGTTTTAAGAGTACACAAACATCAAGGATTTTGCTAGTACAAAATTAATGCAAGTAACATCTTCAAACCAAATGGAATATATCTATCATTTCCCTTCCCAATAGCACAAGTGTTTTCTGTGCTGGGAAGGAATAAGTCTATAAGAATCCATCTCACTACTTGCAGTTAGTTAGTCAGAGAAGAGGGGCCAGGGGCCAGGCTTACCTGAAGAGGAAACCTTTTGTCTTGTTTCCTTCTAAACCTTTCTTTTACACATATCAGCACCAGATCACAGTTGTTTATCTTAGCCCTGTATTGTGCATTCTCCACCTCCTTTCCAGAGGCGAAATTCTCACGCTAGAAGTCCAGTAGCCCAGGGAGAGAAGTGTCAGTGGTGAACAAATATAACAATATTCTGCCATTCAGATCTTGAAGAATGTAAATCCTCTTTTAGTAAGTTTTGGATACGTCGCAGGGTGTACACATGTAATGGTGATGCAAAGCCAACTCTTAGAGGTGCACCAAATATTTATTGAACAAGAGCGTCTACAGTTCCAACATATGTGGGGCTCTTTAGCCTGGGGGGGGGACACCTCAGGGGAGATGAACAGAATCTTCATTAAAATGTTACAGAAGAGATGAACTGCGCCATACCTATGTGGGTGAAGGTGTTCCTGCAGATAACCAAGTTCCATGTTGTTTAAGTTTTATAAATCCAGCGGCGAAACCTTCAGCCTTGCGCCTGCTAGCAAATACGCAGCCCTGCACCCAGACATTAGCTCAGGGCTTTCTTGGTCACACCTGACTCAGCGGTCACCCATCTGAATGAGACTTGCCTTCAGATCTCCCTGGAAAGGGTTTTTTTCTCTTGGTGTGGTTGTTCTTGAGCTTTCTCAGTCTTTCTGTTACTGTGCAGTTAACCATTAGGGCATATTTAAGTCATCTTGTTGTGGATGTGTATTTTCCTACTTCAAGAGGCAGGATTTTGTTAGAACTGTACAAGATGGAGTATTAGAACATTTGTACCTCTAGATGTGACTAACCTCCTATAATTTAATGAGAGCTTTATTTTATTTTAAGGTATTTCCCTGAAGAAAGACTGTGCGGCCTTTTGGACATTTTTGTGATTCAATAAATCTTCCATTCACCTCTAACGGTCTGCTTTGCAACAGTGTTTTGGAGCAGTCTCCCTTCATTTTTGTACCCTTTTTATGGTGAGGCAGAGATCTTGCTTTGAGGAGCTCGGAGGGAAAGGTTAAGGAAAGAGATGGGGGGAATTAGAGGGAAATAATCAAAGGCCGGTCTGCTGCTTGTCTAAGATCCTTGGGAGATGTAGGTGGATTTGACTGCCTGAGGGTCCTATATGCTCTGTGCCCATAGCTGCCCTCTTGATCCCTCTCCGAAGTGGCTTCTGGAGAGTCTATTCCGATGAAATGTTGCCTTGCAGAATTGCCTCTGGCACTGAGGCAGCTTTGCCCTGGCAGCAATCTCCCTAGGTCTTGAGTATGAAGAAGGCAGCAACTGTTAGCTGGGAGGGCTGCAAAGCTGGGAAGGAATTTGTGAGGTTTCTGGACCTAATCCCCTTCCTTGTACATGATCCTCAACAAGTTTGTGCAGGCTTAACCACTCAGAACACCGGTGGATTCATCCAGTGCATTGCCACTTCCTCTTGGTGTTATTCTTGGGGGTCGGGGGAGAACACAGAAAGCTTTGCCACTAAATCTGACTGATTAAATGTTATTGCACAACACTTAGGCACCCCAAAGTAGGATAGGCCTTCTGCTTCCCAGATTGGCACAGGCGAAATTCCTCTTGCCCTCCTCTGCATGCCAGGCTTTCCACCACAACCATCCCAAGGTGGAAGCAGCTCCTCTTGGGCTTCTCTCACCCTGGCCATGACTGTGGGAGCCACAGTGGGTGCTTCTCCCTGCAAAGCTAGAGTGGCTGAGAAACAGCTGTAATAGGAAAGCCACTTTTACTGAGAGTGGAGGTCCTTCCCTCAGCTTTACAAGGAAAGAACATGTTGCAAGAGGAAACAAAAGGGGGAAAGGCTACGAAAGAGATGCTGTAGTCATTATTTTAGGGTGGGAAGCTAGCAAACTTCTTTCCCTCCCCCCTCTTAGGACCCTGGATAGTAGAGGAAAATGGGCCTTCTAGGAGAAGGGAGGTGTATTGAGGACTAGACGCTTCCCTTCCCATGCCAACTAAAATACCCTCCTGGACTTAAGTCTAGTTTCTGGACTGGAAGCCATTTTCCTCAATAATTAGAAAGGTGAAAAATTGTTGTGGGTTCAGAAGATCTGGTTGGGATGGAGGGTGGTGATTGGAGGATGGAATATCCCTGCTAATTGGCTGCATATTCTGAATGGAGCCCCCCTCCTCCCACAACAACATTGTCCTCGCTGCATTTGTATGTGTGTGAGAATAATCTGGACCAAGTGACCTTAGGAGGGGCAACCTGAGCCAGTAGTTAATGAGTGCTCTTGGCTTTTTTTGGTTATTTTTATCATGTCCTATCCGGGGAGTTTAGGGCAGCTAATGCCTCTGAATGATACAAAAGGGCTTTGTGGCTTGCAAAGGGCTCTTAGTAGAAACCAACTAGATAAATGGTAAGAGGAGAACTAGGAAATATTATAAAATAATGTTGGGGTGTATTGCTAATATAAAGTGGTATAGAAAGAAGGAGAAGAGAAAAAGGAAAAAGAACGTGGGTGTTTCAGAGGAAGGAGTGGGGAAACTCAGTCCTGGGGGCCACTATCTCAACTGGCTATACCTCTGCTCCCCAGGCCACACCCTTCGCTGGGACCCTGGATTTCTGCCAAAATCCCAGGTGTTTTTGCCTGGCTGCAATGTGTCCTTGAGCATCTACCATGCAACAATGAAGTGTCCATTCTTTGCTCAGCTTACCTTTGCCTGTCACCATCGCTCTTGCAAGGTTGCTCAGCAGGGACTGCAGCCCCCAGCTGGAGTCAAAGGGACGTGGCTTGCTTGGAACAGTGTGTGTTTGTAAGCTGGCCTGCCCTCGCTTCTGCCCTTTCCTCCTATGTTGGCAGGTAGGCTGGTACAGATGGGATGTTCTTGCTCTCACAACCGTGGTTAAAAGAATGGCGCAGGCTGCAGGAGCAGTGCTTGCTCTCCCGTCTTGGGTGCGAACCCCTCCAGCCCACTTTTAAACCAAAGCGAAGTCTTCCATTGGCATCAATATGATCCACCACCAGGAGCTAGTGAAGCCGTTGTAGTGGTAAGTGTGCTAGACTACGATTCAGCCTCCCTGGGTGGCCAGTCGCTGTCTTTCAGCCTAGACTAGCTTCTTCTGAGGGTACAATGAGTGGGACAGATGAAACAGGTATACCACCTTGACTAGAGGGCTCCTGTTTAACTGTGGCTAACTGGTGTAGGTGTAACATCTGAATCAGGCTGGAGGGGAGAAAGCCCACAGTCCTGGAGCCTCTTAACCAAAAGTGTTACATCTGCCACAACCCATATTAAGTGCTTCTCAAGAACAAGAACCTGCAAATCAAATTCTACATCTAGAAGACATAGACCCTCTAATGATAATTTTTAAATGATACGTCTACAAGTAGCTTTTCATAATATATTCTGCTTTCTGATTGAGTTTTTCAGCTCAGTTTTGTTTTTGTTTTGTAAGGAAGGTAGATGGCTGGGTTGGGTGAGCTGAGCAGTGAGAGAAATGCACCTCCACCCTGCTGAAGCTTTTTCTCATCCTTTGCGAGGTATTTCCTGCACACTTCAGGTGTTTTCTCTGTGATAATGAGGGCTAGAAAAATAGTTTTTCTTCTAGGGAAGCTGCATTTCTCAGGATACTGG